TAAGGAGCTATGTTTAAACACATTTGACCAAATATCATTTGGACTTAGGTTAATATATAGTAGTTAAGTAGGAGATTTGGGTCCACTGTGGTATTGTGCTCTTGCTTTTCTTCAGGTTTTTATATTTTTGTATTTAGCATTTGATGTGAGAGCAGCCAGAAAAATGGAAGTTCTGTTATATTTTTCCAGAGGAGCTCAGATATTATTAGAGTTGGGCCTGTCCACTTTGCAGAGTGCGTTCTCTTGACATTAGTGGCCAGTGTGGGAAGAACAGTTAACAAATTGGTTGGCCATCCTCTGTTTCCACTTCCCTTCCAGAGGCTGCGTGTCAGTTTGTTTAGGCCAGGCTTGTTGTCTGCACTGCCAGTGAAAGTGTTGACTGAGCTTGGCTCCTCCTGTGAACCACAGTGTGTGACTCATTTATTATGGGTCTAGAATCAATCCCCAGCATGTTGGGAGAAACAGCTTCCTTGTTTTATGAAGTGCTAACAGAAGAAACTCGTTAATTTCCTAATTGTTCTCCTCTGCCCCCTGCAGCAATAAACTTGAACTTTGTAACAACAAGATTGTATTGTCAGTAACCCCCTGGGAAGGTGTTGCCTTGGTGTTTACTTTTCCTTGTGTCCTTAACCTGTGTTCATTCTTAAGTATACCGGTGTGTATTTGTTATAATGCCATTGTTGTCCTTGTCTGGAACAGGTCATTTATATCATAAACATTTGATGAACTTCTATAAAAGATTTTCTTCTGCCATGTAGTTATGTGAATGAGAAATAGTCATCTGGGAATATGCGCCCTCGGTCTCCCCCCAGCTCCACCCCAGCTGATTTTTAGGAACACTTCAGTTCACCCTACTGCTTGCTTAAGTTTCTGTTTTTAGCGTGTGATTTTATTTCCTTCCAAGAAAATTTTACCCATTTAGTATAACTCAGAATTCTACTTCATTTTTTTAAAATTGAGACAGAGTCTCACTTTGTCGCCATCTGTAGAGCACAGTGGTGTCACAGCTCACAGCAACCTCAAACTCCTGGGCTCAAGCAATTCTCTTGCCTCACCCTTCCTAGTAGCTAGGACTACAGGCGCCCGCCACAATGCCTGGCTTTTTGGTGGGGAGGGGAGTTAGCAGGCCTGGGCCAGGTTTGAACCCACCAGCCCCAGTGCATGTGGCCGGTACCCTAACCACTGAACTACAAGGACCCCTCTACTTCATTTTTTAAGGAAGTGAGCTGTGTTTCCCTTGCATTGAACAATAAATCCTGAATACTTTTATTTCTCACTTATTAAAAAAACCTGGGTTTTGGCCATAGCTTTATAGTTTTGCCTAATTCAAAGTGGAAGTGTAAATTCAGAGTGGTGGAAGTTACCCTCCTGTTTCCTTACACCTGACCCCTTGCTCCAACCATCTGAACTTCTTTCAGCTGACAGCACAAATGTCACCAACTATAGTGCTCCTTATTGCATGTTCCCTGTGTGCTCACCACAACCACGTGTAGTGATACAGCCCGTCCTCACAGTCACCCTTTGAAATGAGCCCTCTCAGACCCAGTTTACAGATGAGGAAACTAAGTCTTAGCAGTTCTGTGGCTTACCGAAGGCCCCAGGGCACATAACCAGGCTTTCGCCCGGCAGTCTGGCTCTGCAGTGCTCACACAGTCCTGAGGTGCTCCCACTTTGTTCCCACAGTGCAACTTCCAGTTCCTCAAGCACTTTCTGTTCCCTCTTCTCTCCCTGCTCTGCCACATGCTTCCCCTGCCCAGAACATTCCCTACAACCCTCTGTCTTAGGTGATTCCCATTCTCTCTTCTCGTGGTAAGCTAAATGTCACTTCTTTGAGGAGGCCTTTCTTGTGAGCCCCACGCTGTGCTGTGTGTTCCAGAAGGGTTTCGATCTCGTGTTCACAGAGAGCTGGTGAGGACTGGCCAGTGTCCTCTCCTCTCTGTGCCCGCCACAGGTGTGGGGCCCTTTTCTGGGTCTTGCCTTGTCTTTATCCCAGTGTCACTGTTAAGTTCCCAGCAGAGGTTTTCAACTTGTCCTCTCAACGTCTGTTCCTGCAAACTTGACAGTGGTCTCTAGACCTCACTTTTAATATTACTTACTAATTAAGTGACCATAGGAAGGTGCTTAATTTCTGAGTCTGGCTTTCTTTATCTGTAAAAGGAAAGTGGTAATACGTAGCCTGGCATTTCAGAATTAGATGAAATCACTAAAGTGGCCACGATTCCCCAGTATACTATAGGTGTCTACTAAATGGGAGTTCAGTTTTCATGCTTGGAAAAAATTACAGAAACTAGATGATTACCAACTCATTTATCCTCTTCCTCCTGGCCTTTGTGAAACTATAGATCAGCAGTACCAGTGACTCTTAGTGAGTCTGTGCATTGGTATCAGCTGGGGATCTGGACTCTTTCGGGGGGACTAGAAGAGTCAGCCTGGTGCGAGAGTGCTGACTGCCACTGCGTTGTCTCTGCTTCTAGGCTTTCAGTGAACAAAGATAGTGATAATGGTTCAGAATAACAGTGCTGGTGTTCTTCTCATGTCTAGACACCTGAGTGCAGGGTAACGTTTCCATGAAATTTTCCATGATTTTGGTTATGTGTCTCACTAAGGCTGTAAAGGCAAAATACTGTTTTAATTCTCTAAAATCATTTTCTTTGTTTTATGTGCATTAATTTGTTTTTGTTTGCTTCACTTTTTATAACTTTAATTTTTAAAATTATAAAACATAGAATTCCAAAGTTATAATTACACAACAGGAGCGGGTGCATTCGTGGAGCCCCTCCTTTCCCTTCATCCCATCCTCCCACTCCCCTGTCCTGTCTGATTTCACTCTTCATTGCCTCTGTTTCAGAATATTAAAGAAGGGGCATTTCTCCTCCACACACACACAGTTCTCATTCACTGACTGACGCACAGCTTGCTCATGCTGTGCTCCTGTCAGCGCTACTTCCTAGTGGTCTCCACGGCAGCACCAGCGATCTGCTCTGTCTGTAGATTTGTGCCGTGTTTCATTCAACCAAGCCCTGTTGGTGCACATTTCAGTTGTTCCCAGGATCTTTGCTGTTACACATTGTACCACATTCATCATCATTAGTCATCAGAGAATGCACGTCAGAACCACCATGACATGCCACTTCCCTTACACTTCCCTTCTTGAATTAAAAAGAAAAGGTCGAAACAAGTGTTGGTGAGGCTATGGAGAAACTGGAACCCTCCTAGTGTAATGATGAGAACGTAAAATGCTGTAGCCACTTGAGAAACAGTCTGGAAATTCCTCAGATGTTAAACAGAGTCACCATGTGATCCAGCATTCACTTAGTTACATGACCGAGTACGTAAAAACATGTACTCAAAACACACTCGTGTGTGTTCAGGCAGCATATTATAATAGCCAGAAGGTGGAAACAACTCAAATGGCCATCAGTGATGAATGGGAAATAAAATGAGGTCTGTCCACACAGTTCTTTAGCCATAAAAAGGAATAAAGTATTGATACATGCTGCACCACGGATGACCCAAGAGCACGTTATGGTGAGTAGAAGGAGCCAGGTACAAAGGTTATGTGCCATGTGATTCCATTCATGGAAAATGTCAGAATAGGCAGATCTGGAGAGACAGAAGCAGATTAGCAATTGCCAAGGACTGAGGGTAGTGGAGATTGAGGAGTGGCTACTAACAGAGGTTCTGTTGGGGGTGATGAAAACGTTCAAAAATTAGACAGTGGTGATAGTCACACAACTCTGTGAATATGCTAAAAACCACTGCATTGTATTCCTTAAGGGTATGAATTACATGGTGTGTGAATTATATCTCGGTAAAGCAGTATTAAAAAATAAGCTGTGCTGCAATGAATAATCTTGTGCCAAACATAATTTCATGCAGGAGCTTGTTTTTGGTCTATAGTCCTAGACATGGGATTACTGGGCACACAAGTGGTTTTGCTGCATGTTGCCCCTGTCACTCCACAGGGGTTGTGTCATTTGTCATCAACTCCAGCAGTACATGGAAGCACCAGTCGTCCTCTAGCCTCACCAGCAACTTTTGTTGTCATACTTTTACGTGGTTACTGGGAATGCTGTATGTGATTAAAATTGGCCCTTCTACTGTTATGAGCATGGCTGAACACTTTCTCAGGGTTTACAGTTCATCTGTATTTGTTTATCTGTGCCATTTTCTGTGCATGAATTTTCCTTTTTTCTATGGACTATTTTTGGTGCTTTAGTTTTTACAAGTTCTTTTCGTATTAAAGTACATAAAATACATAGTAGGGACTCGGTAAATATTGTATTTTTTGCCCATCATCACTTCTTAGAGTCCCTTCTGAATCCTCAGATAAAATCGTGCTCTATACCCCACTGCATCCATATTTCTGGGGTTTTTTAAGAGACAGGGTCTCTCTCTGTTGCCCAGGCTGAGGTTTAATGCACAATCACAGTTCACTGTAACCTTGACCTGGGCTCAAGTGATCCTCCTGCTTCAGCCTTCCAAGTAGCTAGGAGAGGAGGCATGTGCCATGATATCTGGCTGTTTTCTTTAATGTTTTGTAGAGATAGGGTCATATGTTACCCAGATTTATCTTAAACTCCTGGGCGCAAGCAGTCCTCCTGTCTGGACCTCCAAAGTGCTAAGATTGTAGCATTGAGGCACCACACCTGGCCATAAAGCTTTTCCTGTTCCCAGTGAGAAAAATAATTCGTGTTTTCCTCTATGACTGGTACCTTTTCATTCCTTAAGTTTAGATCTCAGATCCATTTGCAGTTTATCCTGATGAATGATGTTAGGAAGTAATCTACTTTTATCCTTATTTTATATGGCTACCCAGTTGCCCTAGCACTTTTGATGAAGAAAAAATGTCACTTTTTGTTTACGTATTTTGAGGTTGATGTTTTGAAGTAATTGTACAAACAATATTATAACATTGAATAAGGAAAAACAAGTCATCTGTGATCTCTGACCCTACCCAGGCTATTGTCATTGTATAAATTGATCTTCTTTCTCTACAGGTCAGTGAGCTAGATGGCATTCCTTTGATCCTGGACAACTGCAACATCGATGACAGTAACCCCTGTATCCTTGCCTGTGGGCCCCAAAGTTCATTCCCAGCCAGGCACCTTAGCACAGCAAGTCCCTTCTCTGGTGTTCGTTCAGCATGTAGCTGGCTACTTTGCTTGTTACTAACAGCCAGACCACTTTCCTGAAGTCACAGTGCTGGAACATCCCTTGTGTAACCTTTGCAGTCTAGTAAGCTAGAACTTTGAAGGTGAGTAGAGCATTCCAATCCAGCATGCCACGCACTAGAGTGCTTTGAAACTCAGAGGCAGAGGTGACTCACCCAAGGCCCATGTACTGCATGTCACCAATGTCACCTTGCCAGAGTGTATATATGGTCACTATTTGCAAATGATCTCTCTGTGTGCATAAATAGTAAGTCTATTCTTTAGTAATGGGGTATAGTAATTTGCATATATACGTTAGATCAAATTTGTAAATGGTGGTATTTAAAACTTAAATTTTTATTGATAGTTTTGTCTACTCTGATTTACCCATTATAGAGAGAGGTTTTAAAAAATACCAGCCTATGATTGTGGATTTGTCTAATTCTCCTTTTAGTTATTTAAATTTTCCCTACATATGTTTTGAGGCTATTTGTTTAGGTAAAGATATATAACAGGTCCTGAGTAATAGCCCTGTTATAATATGAAGTGACCCTCTTTATCTCTAAAAAATGCTTTTTGGGGGCAATGCCTGTGGCTCACCAGGTAGGGTGCCAACCATATACTGAGGGTGGTGGATTTGAACCTGGCCCTGGCCAGCTAAAACAGCAATGACAACTGCTGCAACAACAACAAAAAAGCTGGGGTTTGTGGCAGCATCTGTAGTCCCAGCTACTCAGGAGACTAAGGCAAGAGAATCGCTTAATCCCAAGAGTTGGAGGTTGCTGTGAGCTGTGGTGCTATGGCACGGCACTCTACCAAGGACGACAAAGTGAGACTCTTTTTTTTTTTTTTGCCTAATATTAATATAGCTTTCTTACTTTGCCTTGGGTATAACCTTTTCATTCCTTTCTGTATGACAGTGGTTCTCAACCTTCCTAATGCCACAGCCATTTAATACAGTTCTTGTGGGTTGCAACCCACAGGTTGAGAACTGCTGCTATATGAGATGTTTCTTGTAAGCAGAATGTACAGTCATGTACCACATGATGACATTTTAGTAGGTGGTCCTGTAAGATGACATGTATAATACATAGTATTATAATTTTGCTATACTTTTTGTATGTTCAGATATATTTTGATAAATAGGTATGTATCATTGCGTTACAGTTGCCTACTGTATTTAGGTAATAGTCTATAACCAAAGGTGTCCAACCTTCTTTTTTTTTCCTCTGCTGCACATTGGAAGAAGAGTTGTCTTGGTCCACAGATTAAATACACAAAAACTAACTAAAGTTGATTAGCAAAAAAAAAAAGTCTCTGCATACTTTTTGTGATGTCCAACACTACAGATAAGCAAAAAAAGTCCTCACAAAACCAAGCCACAGGTTTGCCATGACCTGCTACAGGTTTGTAGCCTAGGAGCAACAGGCTTTGCTTTAGAGCCTAAGTGTTCAGTGAGCTGTAGACCATGTAGTTTGGTATAAATACACTCTGTGGTGTTTGCACAATGATGAAATTGCCTAATGATGCATTTCTCAGAACATAATGCTTCCTTATATGATGTATGACTATAGTTATTTTTTCTTAATCTAGTTTAATAGTCTTTGACTTTTAGCTATTGCATTTAGCCCATTTATATTTAATGTAATTACTGATACTATTATGCTTAAGCCTTTTTAATTTTTCTTCCTATCTTCATTTCTTTTTTTCTTTCTTTTGGATTATTTTTTATAGTCCTATTTTTTCCTTTTCTAGTTGAAAAATTCTTTTTCTTTTTTTTTTTTCTGTCAGTGGTTCCCTGGGAAATCAAAACGTGTATCCTTAACTAGGCCCAGTCACATGTTTTATAAACCTTTACTCTTCTTTCCAGATAATAAAGGACCATTAAGCACTCCTAAACTTATACAGTCTTATATATATTTTAACTCTGCTTTTAGAACTGTATAAAATGATACTGTTGTTCAGTGTAGTCAGTGTTCATATAGATGTGTGCACATATTTATCACTTTTACAACACTTTATCAGTATCGATAATCTCAGTTCATCTAAATGGGATCATTTTTTTTCTGCCTGAAGTCCTTCCTTGAGAATTTCCTTTGATATGGGTCCATTGGTGAGGAACTGAGTTTGTTTGAAAATGTTTTTCTTTGGCTTTCATTTTTCTTACCTCCTGCTGAAGAGTATATGATTGCCAGCATTGTGTTGGGGTAGCTACAAGCTATCTACAGTTTAATATGTATACTTTCACTTAATTCCACTATCTTCAGCACAGTATTTTCACCTTCCAGCTCTACTGGATGTATCCTCCTTGCCAGAGTTCTCCGTTTTACCCTTTTCTTTTTCTTTTTCTTTTTCTTTTTATTTTTTTTTTGAGACAGAGCCTCAAGCTGTCCCCCTGGGTAGAGTGCCGTGGCATTACAGCTCACAGCAACCTCCAACTCCTGGGCTCAAGCGAGTCTCCTGCCTCCGCCTCCCAAGTAGCTGGGACCACAGGCGCCCGCCACAACGCCCGGCTATTTTTTGGTTGCAGCCGTCATTGTTGTTTGGCGGGTCCGGGCTGGGGATTTGAACCCGCCACCTTAGGTGTACGTGGCTGGCGCCATAGCCGGTTGAGCTATAGGCACCGAGCCCGTTTTACCCTTTTCATTGAATTAATTAATTTTCCAATCTTCTGTTGAGATAAAGAAGAGGCACTGGGGTCCAGCTTCTGCTTAAATTTGCAAACAACTCTTCTCCAATTTTCACCTTCATCTCCCATTAAAGAGGCACAAGTGATCACCAGTGCCTGAGCTTCGGGAGGGCTCCACACATCAAATTACTTCTCTGTTCTTCTCAGTGTCGGCTTGATCAGCTTTGTTGGGTCTGCTGGTTGCTAGAGACCCTTTTCAGAGCTGTAGGCCACAGTCTTGTCTGTAACTTCTTGGCTGTCTGCCTTTTAGCTTCTGAAGTTCTCTTTGCTCTTTCAGTTTGTCCCTTTAAAAAACATCAGGTGGGGCTTCAAAACAGAGTGGAGATAGAGGAGTCTGTTCATAAGCTTTGTCACTTGCTCATAGTCACCTGCTATCACCATGTTGCCACAATCAATGAAGTTACTTGTTCTTATCCTGTTAAAACTTTACAAGATTTAATCTTTTTTTTTTTTTTTGTAGAGGCAGAGTCTTGTTTAATCGCTCTTGGTAGAGTGCTGTGGTGTCACTGCTCACAGCAACCTCCAGCTCCTGGGCTTACATGATTCTCTTGCCTCAGCCTCCTGAGTAGCTGGGACTACAGATGCCCACCACAATGCCCGACTATTTTTTTTGTTGTTGAAGTTTAGCTGGGGCTAGGTTTGAACCTGTGACCCTCAGTGTATGGGACCGGTGCCCTACCCACTGAGCCACAGGCACCGCCCAAGATTTAATCTTTTTAAAGTTAATCACTTCCTTCTTAACATACTGCTTTTTTCTTGGCTTTCATGATATTATCTTCTCTTGGTCTTTTCGTATCTCGGGCTCCTTCTCATTCTCCTTTGCAGCTTGCTCTTCTGTATGACTTCAGTGTTGAGGGGCTGCTGGTGCTCTCTTCTTACTCTCCAGTTCCTCCCTAAGACACACCACCCACCCACAGGAATCTGTACTCATCCAGCGTTTACTGAACCCCTTTACATCCCACACACTGTTTGGGACCCATGGAATGGCAGGGTGGCCTCTGGGAGGTGTTGCAGTTACCCAGGTGAGAGTGATGGTGACTTGACCGAGGCTGATAGCAGTGGAGATGCAATGCAGAGTGAGGTTGTGAGTTTTCTCATAGTTTTAAATATTATCTGTTTACCATGAGTTGCAAACTCGAGAATGAGCTACTCTTTGAGTCTCAAACAAAAGAATAATTTGTTTGGCTGTTTTACTGACATTGTTGGTGTAGCACATTCAAAGTTAAACTGTTAATATCTTTGCTCAAAACTGTCCTTTCCCCCAGTCAGTGAGGGGACATCTTCACCCATGTCATTGCTCAGAAACCTGGAGTCCCTCGGATGCTCTTTCTTTTCTACTCTCTGGTATCGTGTTGATTTCTCCATAAACCATACCCCAAATCCCTCCTCTTCCTTCCATCCTCAGTGCCACCATCCAGTCCACGCTCTTGTCATTTCTGGCCTGAACTTCAGCAGTATCTTCCTGACTCCCCTTTTAGCTTCTGCTCTTGTTTCGGTGGTTTTTGATTCCCCATCCATTCACTTTGCGGATCTTTTAAACCTAAATAGGATCTTTCCTCTCGATCCGTGATTCCACCCACTCCTCACACCACCTCTCATGCCCCTGGTTATAACACCTCCATGACTATCCGTTGTTCTTAGAATAATTCCAAAGCCTATCATATCCTAAGAGGCATTTTGTATCTTGTGCCATTTCCCCTGTTCTTGAGCATTTCCTAGGCACATCTACTTTTTTTGTTTCTGAGATGGACTTAAGTTCTCATATCTCTGTGAGTCTCTGCCTGAACTCCTCTGCCCTGGCTGAGTTGTCCTCGCACTTACACCTGTCACCACGTGTCTCCCCTTAGTGGAGCCTCCCCTGATGTCCCTGCCTAGATGAGGTTGCTCCTTCCAGTCCCCTGCAATAACCCTTCAGTTCAACACAGTTTGAAGTTAGATGTTTGTTCATTTATGTCTTGATTACCCTCTAGACCAAGGGTCCTCAGACTTTTTCAACAGGGGGCCAGTTCACTTTCCCTCAGACCATTGGAGGGCCAGATTGCAGGCCCTGGGACAAGTTGGCTGCTAAGTAGGACAGGCAGCAGCAGCCAAACCACCTGGTGGGCTGCATGTGGCCCACGGGCCATAGTAGAGGACACCTGCTCTAGACCATGTTCCTTGAGTGCAAGAACCATTTTTTCTGTTTTTTTTAATTTTTTTTAACCTCAATATAATATACCTCT